TAAATAAAGACTCATGAGAATTTACCTTATAATTTTTTTACAATTAAAATATTAAGGTTTGTTTGATAACATAAAAAAGTGTTGAATCTGAATTTTTTTCAAATATTCAGATGTTTTGAGTGTTTGATAAATGAAAATCTATTTGCTAAACTTGTGTGTATTTTTTTTCAGTATAAGAATCCTAACTGAATGCTTAATTCTGATAAGAATCAATAGAATTACTTCAACTACCTTATCATATCTATATCTACCATTGTTTGTTAATTATGTTCAAAATTCTTATTTAATTAAATAACCTAATATTCTCTATCTAATGATTTTTAGTTTCTCTTTTCTTCCTTTTTAATGACTTTCACATCTTCTCCATACTCATATAATATATTTCATCTTTTATATTAATTTGATTTAAAAATAAATATTGTCATTTTCATACCTTACAACTTTAAACTAATTAAATTATAGATTCTATTTCTTTTTTGAATGAAAGGATATAAGGGCAAAATTATCAAATTAAACTTATTAAGCATTCAGCTATAAATATATATCAAACCGTATAAATAGGTTTAGCATTTAAATTCAGATATTCATATTTTTTTCAGTGCTTAAATTTCAGCAAATTAATTGTTTCAGTATTCAGAATTTAGAATTTAGACTTCAGAATTCAGATTCAGTTTTATTAAACGGAACCTAAAATAAGTAAATGACTGAGAATAATCCATTATCCTCATGGACCAAACTTAGAAGAGATATTGGCCGGAGACAAAGAATTTTCCATCCTCTGTGATAAAATGTGACACAATCATGGATGTAACAATTTAATACTATATCTGATTAGAAATATTACATTAAAGTATTTAAAGTTAAATGTTTAAGCGTCTGGATGCCCAAGGCAGTAATATGCAAAATATTACTGATAATGAGCCAACGAGTCCCGGGATTAATACTTTGAAGTTAGCAGCAAGTTACTTGTCCTTGGCATTGATCATGTTTATTATTGAATAATAAACTCATATTTTAACGTAGTATAAGTTGTTTAATGGGATGCTTGTTGTCATTGCTTGTTGTGCGTTGCACAACTTTTTAAGGATGCACCAACCAGAAGATGCCCATTGTCAACGATTTGAATCAGAAGACGTGCACTTAAATGAAGAGCCAGAAATAGGCGGGCTAGTACCTCAGCCGTTCGCATTAAACGCATCTCCTGCAGAGCTGGCGGAATGGAAAGCTAAACGAGACTACATAGCGACTCAAATGTACGCAGCACGGGGGCGACGCCGCCGTTAGGTGTTCATCGCATTACAAAGGATTGTAATTGTCCAGGCAATTTATTTTCCCATGTGTAGAGTGTACTACAAATGCCCTCGATTTCCAACTTCTAAATTAATCTGTACCGTTTGTGTATTAAGTATGCAATTGGTTTAGCGTAAACGTAGTATAAAGTCAAAATTTTCGAAGTCAAAGTCAAAATTTTCAAAGTCAAAGTCACCTGCTTAAATTCAATAATGAGCACCTGTCCAAACGCTAATTTACACGATTTACTTACTATCCAAACGCTTATTTCATATTTACGCAATCTTAAAAAGTAACTTAAAAAATATCTCAAATAACTTACAATCCAAACGGAGCCATTATTTACTAGCTAGTTGAATAAGTCTCATTTGACTAATTCATCCTATATTACTTTTCTTCAAGTTGGGGTTATTACTAGTGGGGCTACACTCTGCAACCACTCCTCCACAAGTCTTACAACTTGAATTATGATATCCACCTATTTGCGGTCCAAAATATGCCAACAAAATACAAATTCAAAATGTAGAGGCTAAAAAAAGGTTACTGACACAATAAATATGTATGAACCCACATGTACAACATCTTTTTACAAAATTATATACGTCTTTTGTTGTAAATTACATTGTGGTTAAAACGGTGTTATATTTTGTTCAGTCATTGCATTTTCCATGCGCCAAAATGTGGATTATTCCACATGTACATGGAAAATGCTCGTCTTCTCCTACTTTTTTTGTTGCACGGCTAATTTCTTTTATTTTTTTGGTACAATTTTTGGTGCATTGAGAAGCAGCTATTGAGGTTTTTACATGATTATACTTATCAAAGTCCTTATATTGCATCAATAATTTCGAGTGTATTTATTATTGTTGCTGTTTCCGTGTCGTTGATGAGAAATTTCTTGTTGAGTCAATCTGGTCTACTAAAAATGAATCCTTTTTTTTGTTTTAAATGACTCCTTAATTTAGTGCTATATTGCCCAAATTGGAGTGCAAAGTACGAGGGAACAAATGAACTGGACAAAGATGTTGCCTTCCCCTCTACTTTACATTGGAATAGTTTATTCATTATTGTTGCCGTTTACGTGTCTTTGACAAGAAATTTCTTGCTGAGTAAATCTGGCCTACGGAAAATGACTCCTTAATTTAGTGCCAAACTGTCCAAATTGGGGTGCAAAGACAAACGAACTGGACAAAGATGTTGCCTTCCCCTTTGGAAGGCAAGTATTAGGACAAACCCGATCCCAGTTGCGTACCAAATGATGTAGTGAAGACTACTGTACAAGTCAACTCAAATGTAAGGTTGCAAATCCGCGAGTCGAGCTTAGACTTGATCAAGTGAAGCCAGACTTATATTTTTGGCTCGAAGTTAAATTGAAAATCAATTGAGCACCTATCGTACATCTCATGTTCTCTAATTGACCTTGTCTATATAACTATGATCTTTTTTGAAAATGAATTTAATTGCACTTGGGGATAATGACTAACGAAGGTACAAAACTATATTCACAAATAACTTTGGCCCGAGCTCTGTTAGAGCCTTTAATCAAGTTACTCATACTCGAGTTGAGTTAAGCCACTACCTTTATAAGGATCATTTTAGTTGGGAAGAAAATTTCTCATCAAAAAGTGGAAAGTGCACAACCGTTTCAAACAAAATTTCTACCCCTGTTTATTCAAAACCATCTCTTGATACATCAACGAGTCTAATTTAAAAGCTCAAACTCAACATGTTAGTTTCAAGAATAATAAGTTGGCTCAGTTGACAAAAACGTGTTACTTTTTTACAAAAAATCGTGTGTTCAAATTCCACTGTCATGATTCCGAAGGCATATTTTAAATCGTGAAGATGACAGAAACCGAACCCACCAAAAACAAAGTTTCAAGACTAGAATAATCATTTTCTTCAGGGCAATTTATGGCAAGCATATTTGTGAGTCAAATTTAAACAAATTATTTCAAGATTTGGGTGGTTCATTTTCGTCAGGGTATATTATGGATTGAACTTCAGTATAATTCAAGGAAAAACAAAAAAGTATGGTCAACAGGCAGCAAAGAAAGATTGACTGTTTAACCGAGGCGGATGTTCTGGCCAGGCAACTTCGGTGCCGAATGAGGTGGTTATTGCCGAGTAAACTTGCTTCTTGGGGTAGCTCCTAGGGGTGGGCGCGGGTTGAGTACCCGCCCCATTCACCATTTGACTGACCCAACCCGCACCTTGCAGGTTAGCCATTTTCTGACCCTTACCCGCCTCGCATATCAGCGGGTACCCGATTATCGGGTACCCGCTGAGATAGGGTCGGGTCAGCGGGTACTCGCCCCGCCTCATTTATCATTAATTTTTTTAAAAAAATGATTTATACCAATTTAATTTTATATTTTACACATTCATCTAAGATTTAATAATTTTTTTTTCTAAAAAAGGGCTTCCCACCAAGAAACAAGCATGTGAAGGGAATATAAGATAAAGAAAAAAAAATTAAAAGAATTCAAAATCAATAAAATTTTGAAATAAGGAGCACAATTTTTAATATATATGTTCCACATTAATTAAACTTTTTTTTATAAAATATAAGATCATGGCCTCTACAAATGAATCTTGTAAATAAACTATAGTCTCTCATATTTGTAATGCAATTTGTTCAATAAAATTACTTATTTAGTTCTAACTTATTATTTTAAAGTGTGTGTATAAAAATAAAATAAAAATATATATATATATGCGGGGCGGATCGGGTACCCGCGGATTTTCAATTATGTGACCCTAATCCGCCCCGCATCTTAGCGGGTACCCAACCCTCTTTTGACCCGATCAAATAATAAAAATCGGATATCCTAATTTTTGGATCAGATCGGATCGGATATGACGAATTTTCGGATTAGCGGATAATTTTGCCCACCCCTAGTAGCTCCTAAGCAGTATTTTGATTGATTATTTTCATCTATCACCTGACCCAGTGTGATTTTGCTTCTTTCTGATTTTCATTTAGAGTTTTGCTTGTACAATTTCTCGTGGCCATGTTACAAGAATTTTCTGCTATTTCTTTTGGGCACCAACTGAGCTGTGATGCCATTTTGCGGCCCAATGTTGGCATCGCTACTCGAAACCCAAACGTGAAGCTGAGGCGGGTTTTGGGACCAAGAGAATATGTGGGTCTAAATTGTATCATTGTCAAGGGAATAGGTAGAAATAGTTTGAACTGCTGTAATTTTCATATTGATACGATTTTTTTTTGTAAAAGAAATAATTAGTGAAAAATACACAAATTTTACAAGTTAATTAAACTAATAAATTAAGAAATAAATTTTTTTTACTTGCTGTGCCACATTTTCGTTAATCATCTAGTGGCTAAGTTTAAAACCTCAAAATATAAAGATTTTGAGTTTTAATCCTCCTCTGACCTCTCCTCTCCCTACGCTGCTAGAAAAAGACAAACAAAAAGTTGAGCGACTGTACAATTTGGCTATTTGTATTGCAAAATCGCAGCTTGATCATACATTTTCTTTTGACCAATTAAAAATTTTCCAAAGCTTTCATCTTCATACATTAATTAGGCAAAAAAATTATGGCTATTCGGAAAAGAAATGGTAATTGTGCAAATAAAGAAAATAAAACCGCAAATATGAGAAAAAAAAAACTGTAGTGCAAAATATATTGGACATCAGAATTTCAGCTCATATAGTTCCAATTTTGAGAATCCCAATAGAGTAACTAGGACCAATTCATCTCCTTCTCAAGTTCCAATTAAACACTTTCCATGTTTGCTTTTTCTCTGAGGAACGAGACCCGCAATACTCGTAGAATCTCGACAGGATCCAATAATCAATATAAAAAGACCATGCTCTTCTATAATAAGGGCTAACACAAAGAATTACCACAAATGAAATCACGATCACCATATATGAAGCAAAAAAGCTCCAATAGAATGTTGCCACATCAATTGCACCATCAACTTCTATGTCTTGATCACCAACATTTTCAGGGTGTGGAGCAAAGGGGTTACAACTTCTCTTGAGCAATGGTCCGCAGAGACCTGGATTTCCTCTATAATTGCTGTCGTCAAAGGTTGCAAACTCCCCTGTATCAGGTACCCTGCCAGACAAGTTATTGTATGACACATTGAAGATGGACAAGAAGTTCAAGGATGCCAGCTCTGAAGGTATTTCGCCACTGAAATTGTTGTAAGAAAGATCCAAGCTCTCTACTAGGTTCAACATGGAAAGTCTTGAGGGAATGGATCCTTGCAAGTAGTTGTGGGATAAATTTAATGCCCGGATATGTCTGAGATCACCAAATTCAGGAGGAATCGCTCCAATCAATTGGTTACACGACAAATCAAGTCCAGACATGAAATTTAATAAATTCCCTGCATAGCGTTCGCTTCTACTTTTTGTTGTGAATATCACATTTTCTTGGTCGGAAAAAATTTTATAATACTCACTCCACCTTATCTCCATAGCCAGAAAATGAGATCCAGGGTACCCTGGGAAGCTTTCACTCTCACCAAAAGACGGGTCATAGGTAAAAAATGCATCGTTGGAGAACTGCCCGCTGCCAAAAGAAATTTTGTTGAAGCATGTAGGCAGTGGCCCAGAAAACTTATTCTGAGAAAGATCCATAATTGTCACATTCTGCAGCTGACATAAGTGCAAAGGAATATGACCAAGCAATTCATTTCCCCCCAATAGAAGGACCCTGAGCTCTTTAAGTTTACCAATATAGCGTGGTATACCGCCAGACAGCTTGTTGTAACCCAAATCGAGTGTCATCAAATTGAAGCTCCCAGACAGCATGTTTGAGATGGGCCCTGAGATCATGTTGTGATGCAGGTGGATGAACTTCAATGACGTAAGCTCGGAGCAAGCTGGTAAAGGTCCGATCAACTGATTTTTGGAGAGGTCTAAAAATTCAAGATCTGAAAGTTTGCATATAGCATCTGGTAAGCTACCTTCTAGCAAGTTGGCTGACATGTCAAGACCATTCAAATATGAAAAATTTCCAATCCAACTTGGAATTTTGCCTTGAAAAGAATTGTTTGAAATATCCAGCAAAGATAAACTTGGAGAACGAGATAATCCATGTGAAATGCTCCCAATAAAATGGTTATTATCCAAGTGAAGGAATTCTAGGCTTGTTAAGTTCGTGGACCCAGAAGGAAAATTGCCATGCAAATTATTATAAGACAATACCAACATAGTAAGGGCTAAACATCCAGTTCCAATTTGACCTGGCACCTCCCCTGAAAACATGTTGTGGGACAAATCAATTGATTCTGCCCATGTCAAGTTTCCCAATGACTTCAAATGACGTCATTTTTCTCGTTTGAGATGAATTTCCTCTGCCCCCACCATTTCAGCTAAAGGCTCTCTATTTATCTGGCTGCAACTTGAATAATCAGACTCGAAAAATCCCAAGTTTCCTGCTCTATCAGAAAGAAATGCAAAATCTTGATCTGTCTTCCAATAAGTTAGTGGGCCAGATTCCTACTTGGCTTCTGCAAAATAATACAAACTTGGAAGTTCTTGTTCTAAAGGATAACTCTTTTACGGTCCGTTTCTTGTAGATGATTCTCTGGGAAAATATCTAAGTCAATTAGACATCTCAAACAATGACGTCAGTGGTAAGGTTCCCCACTGCAGAAATGAATTTCCTGACAAATTCAACCGCTGCAGAAATGGAAAAGATAAACCGATATTTTGGGGAACCTTACCACTGACGTCATTGTTTGAGATGTCTAATTGACTTAGATATTTTCCCAGAGAATCATCTACAAGAAACGGACCCGTAAAAGAGTTATCCTTTAGAACAAGAACTTCCAAGTTTGTATTATTTTGCAGAAGCCAAGTAGGAATCTGGCCCACTAACTTATTGGAAGACAGATCAAGATTTTGCATTTCTTTCTGATAGAGCAGGAAACTTGGGATTTTTCGAGTCTGATTATTCAAGTTGCAGCCAGATAAATAGAGAGCCTTTAGCTGAAATGGTGGGGGCAGAGCAAGATCCTCAGTGTCGACATGTGAATCATTGTTCAAAGGTCCAAGTTTGAACCCCTGAAGCTTTGAATGGTTGCCCAAAGAACTGAAAGAAAAAGAACCTCCAAAAAGGTTGCCAGAGAGAGATAGATACTCAAGGTGTACGAGAGGAGTAATGAGAGCTGCAGGGATGTTTCCGCTGAGAATATTGTTGGAGAGATCAAGAAGTCGAAGAGATGTCAAGTTTCTGAAGCACATGGGAACAGGCCCGTAAAAATTATTCCGACTCAGGTCAAGTTCATGGAGATTCTTCAAACTGCAAATTCCTGTCCAAAAACCAAGTTCATTGTAAGGTTTTCATACAGTAATAGTTGATGCTAGGTATGAATTGTCAATACATAGCCAATTCAGAAACCGTGAAATCATATGTTACACGCAAAAAAATTGAAATGTTGGTTTTCAAATTTCATCCGGTCTAGCTCAACATTTGAAAAGTAAATAGCAACTTCATGCAAGCAACCGAGCCTTTCACAGCCTATCTTATTACCTTGAAGGACGGAGGAATCATTAATACCAATATCGTACAAAGATAAGGCTTTGAGAGAAGTTAAAGCCTCAACGTCTGAGAGTTTGTTAAAATTTGTATATTCAAGATTGAGTACCTTCAAGCTCTCCAGCTTCAATTCTGCAGTTCAAAACTTTATGTTAGTATTATAGTTTTGGATATATCAAAATTACATAACTATTGTTGCATCTCCATCCCCTATTCTATAAGAATTTGTATATTTCAAACAAGGTAAATTAGGCCACAGGTCAACTATACTATTTTTTTCACGTCAATTGATCCATTGAACAGCTAAAAAGGATCAAATTGGGCTATTCTATCCATTTGCTCGATTAAAATAGACAAAATTCATTGCATGTGAGCTGCACACTCTGCAGGGGAAGCTTTGTCATTTGGTAGTAAAAAGTTGTATGGTAGACAAAGGGGACGTTTATCACGTGGTAGACAAAGTTGTATGTACAGCTAATCTAGAAATTTAGGCAAATTTGTTAATTTTTAGGAATTTATTTTCTTATTGGAATTTGGACAAAATATAACATCAAATTATAGAAATAGGGAAAAGTATACAGATAGTTCTGTCCCATCCTTAATGGTTATACTCCAAATCATGTAACAGCTTTGTCCTATATACACTTTTATCTCAAACTGGATATGCGTACCTTTAAAGGACAAGGAACCAGAAAGCTGATTACCGCTTAAGTCAAGAAACTCCAATTTTTCCAGACGCTTGAATTCTGCAGCAAGAAGATGATCCAATTAGAACTCCTTGAATGAGCAGATTGCGGTCCAACAACTCTCATGCTAATGGATTCTACAATTTTATCTTTTCTGTATATCTATGCTTTATAATTTTGGCATATGCAACATCTCTCACAACTACAAAAAAAAAAAAAAAAGATTAACTAATTAGCATCTTTCAAACAACTACCCATACTTGGATATGTAAATTAAGTTACCGTCTAATCCCATACTTGTGACGGTAAAAGGAAAAACAAATAAGATACTTTGTAATTTTCACATTTAAGAGCTATTAATTGAAATAGATTACAAATAAATAATGCTGAATCATTCTAAGTTTAGATATTCATTTATTTCTATGTGCTGAACAAACGAAGTAGAAAAGCAAAAAATAGAACAGACGTAAAGTCCAAGAAAATTGTGTAAAAAGGTTAAAGAAAGTCTCCTATAAGAATTATAGATAGCAAGTGAATATACCTTCTATAGGAAACGATCCCTTTAAATCCAAATCACGGAGAGACAGCCTTTTAAGTTCAGTAATTGCAGTTATACATGGAATTATACTACTGTTGTTGAAATTGTTCCAATCGAGGTATAAGGACTTGAGATTTTGCAACTTAGCCCAATTCCTGCAGCCTGCAAAGCACGAGTCAGATTCTAATAAACGGACTAAATGCCAAAGAAACCCCTTTGGCTAATCCAATATACACATTTCCTCCCAATAATTTGAAAACGTACCATTTAACCCGCATGGTTTTGGATTAAAGTGAAACTGTTAGCTTTTTTTTTTTTATTAAATTTAATAATCGAGCATGATTAAAGTTTTTAATAGAAAAACAATGATGAAATAATCAAATCGACCTTTGAACCAAGTCATATATAAATTGTAGACAAAATTTGGTGTCAAATATAATTCCAAAATGACATCATCGCAAAAATTAAATTTCATAATAAAGCTTCTTCTTCCCTACTGATTTCTGGCAAAAGAAACACTTATTAGAGCTTTGCAGCGGTCCACCATGGTTCTTGCCGGCAGCATCATCCAAAGGGAGCTGATCTTTTCCTTCTACCAAAAGAGGTTTTCGATATTTGACTCTAAATAAAATGATGTAAGATTTAAAATTTATCACACTTTTATACTTTCCACGTCGGCAAAGATATAAATGTTTGCTTTTCGGTTTTGTTTTCAAAGTTAACGACTATGCATAAAACTTGATGTAAGTGGTAAAATTGTTGTACATTACACAAACTAATTTGTAACCGGTCACCCATTGAATTGAAAACTATTTGATAAATAAATAAGACACACTATCAAAAAACGTGGAAGTAAAACTTGGTTGCTAATTGACTAAAAGAAAATGATGGTAAGAAGCGAGAGTAATTCAAATTAAAAAAAAAAGTATACTTTGTAATGCAATATCTTTTTTTTTTTTCTCTCTCGATCCATTCACTTTTTTCCACATAAATTGCCTGTTTTTTTTCTTAGAGTCATCAATTTTACTCATGTATACATTCCTTAATTATTGCTCCTAATCCATCACGATAGGTTGATGTTTTATGCCTGTACGATCTATTTTTTTAATTGCTATTTTTTCTTGACTTCTTTCAATTTATGATATATTAATTCTTGTTGTTTTGAAGGGGTGCAAATGACTAACTCACAGCTAAAATTTAATGCAAAATAGTTTCCTGCTTAATTAAACTATCGTCAGTTTTTATGGGATTTTGAGTCTTCTACAATTATAATACATGAGAAATTAAAAGAAATAAGGCCGAGAAAAAAAGATGAAGAAATATGAAAAACTTGCCTCAAGCTGCGGACAAGAATACCAAAAGTAAGGCTAGAACGAAAAAAGAAAAGATGATGAAGAAAGATGAATTACTTGCCTGTGTAACCAAGAACAAGAAACTTCAAATTATACAATATAAACCAACGATTTGAGAAAAAGATGGAAGGGTAGTTACCTGTCACTTCACTATTGAAGTAATTATTACTCAGGTCTAGAGTTCGCAGGTCCTTCAGAGGTATGAAAGTGCTAATGTTTATATTTACATACCAATCCTCATCCATATTCTCTCGCAAAAAACTAAGGTCGGCTTCAACAATTCTCCCAGTAATATTACTACACTTGACCCCTTCCCAGGTGCAGCAATCAGCATTTGCTCCGTCACCTTCTTTTCCAGTCCACGAAGAAAGGATAAGATGAGCATTTGTAGTCACATTTAAGGAAGCTTTGAAGTCCAAGAGAGCATGTTTTTCTTCTAAAAAGCAACCTGAGCAAAGTAGTCCTCCATTGAGTATTATTGATACAACGAGAGCCCATGAGGCAATCAGAATGGAATGACCGCGCATGATTTCAGTATGGAGAATTAGTGAAGGAAAGTGTTGTAATGAAAATGGAAGGCAGGATAATTTATAATCGCTTATCAATGTACTGGAACGCAGGGCCGGAGACCGGAGACAAGTCAACTCAGGTGTAAAACAGTGGCGGATTCACACTGGGACACTGGGGGCACGGCCCCACTCATCCCCTTAAATTTCTATGATACTTATAATAATTTGGTGTAATTTCAACTGTGTCTCTTAGAGTTTTGTGTATCTATTGGTTTATAGGCTCCCACTGCCCCTTTTAAATTTCTATAATACCTATAAAAATTTGATGTAATTTCAAGTGTGCCCCCTGGAGTTTTGTGTATCTATTAGTTACTTTTATTGAGAAAAATATACTTCGTGAAGTTCAAAATAAAAAGGTTATAAACTGTTATTAAAATATGAAAACTCGCTATGAGCAATTATAAATGGTTTAGTTTGTTTTGAAATAAAATTATTATTACATTAATAATTTTGAGTTTGTCTTTTGATTTTTTCATGAAATATATGTATCATTTGTACTTGTTGATGAATATTTTTTTCCTTAAAAAACTGAAAAAAGAGTAGGTAAAAAATTTTAGAGTTGCTTTTGCCCCCACTGAAAAATTTTTTCTGGCTCCACCACTGGTGCAAAACGTCAAGTATGCGATCAAGCCTAGTTAAACTCATTATATTAGAGGTTTCTTACATTCTTCTAAGCAACTCGTTATATTATCAAAGCCCATAATTGAGTTATTATTTTGAGCGCATTTATTGTTGTTGTTTTTCATGTTTTTGATAAGAAATTTCTACTTCGGTCCGTCAATCTGGCGGGCAGAAAATGAAATGAAGTGCAAAGTTCTCAAAATTGGAGTGCAGATTACGGGGACCAAGAATCAAAAGAATGTTGGTAGCACAGTAATGTATTGTACTCCCTATTTTGGAAGAAATTATGACTCGAAAGTCTTGTTGGTCTTTCAGAGGACTGAAGAACGCGTAAACATCTACCAACCCTACCTTAGAAGGAAATGCTTGACTAATGGAACTGGAAGCTTGTTGGTCTTTTTATTGGTTCTTCCTCTTGTGGAACTGGAAGCTGCAAAATCAGCCACTAAATTATTGTACACCTTTGCTGATCCTGACCAAGTTGTTCCAACCTGTAAAATCAGCCTCCGGTAAGCAATAATATATTAAGTTCAATAACTAACTCAAATTGATATATACCTTATCTGATCAAGGTAAGTGACCATATTTATGTAATAATGTTAACAGTTGAAGTTGACGGAGTTAGCCTCATAATTAATCATAAAGAGTCTAGTGGGTTAATGAGAACAAAAATAGTTCAATAGGCTAAGTGAAATTTTACTCTAAAATTAATTATGTGATTTATGACTGTAAGCACAAAATGAATTATAGATTTTGATCTACTAGTTAAGGTTGAGATTTCAAGATTTAAAGATTTTGGGAGGGGTTCCATTCTCTCTTTTTTCCTCTTGCTTTTTTAAGTCCTGCCCCTCTCCTGCTTGAAAAAACAAAGCACAAAGTGAACAATAATTAAATACAACAAATAGAAGAACACAAGTAAAATCCAAAAGTTAGAGAGGTAAGAACACATAACACGAAAATTTCTAAACAACTATAATTTCTGACACAAATGTAAATTAATTTACGTTTTTATATAACGAAAAGTTCTATTGTTGAATGCGTTCCTAATATTTTGAGAATTGATCATTAGGGGAAAAAAAACAAACATGGAATCGAACGTCCTAATTAAGAAGCTACAAACACCCCAATAGATTAAGTGAAAGTTTGCCACCGATTTAGGGCTTTTCGACTTTAGTTTTAGGAATATGCACAAGCAAAAAAATAGAATGATTGATTTGTCTAATCTCAAATACGAAATACTCAAAATCTATTCATAATGGTATAGAATCAAGATTCATCAGGCATTGTTAACAAAGCATTATTTATTTAGTTTTCCAAGAAAATTACCTTTCACCCTTGAATTGAGAATTTCATTTCCAAATCTTTTTTTGTCTTTTGGAAATGCAAAAGTTTGAATTCAGAACCTCCTACTTACAATCCATTTGTCTTACCACCCAACCCTCCCCCTTATTTCCTAATCTTGTTTAATTATTTTCTAAAAGTGAAGCAAAAAATTTCTTTTTGCTTATTACTAAAAGGGTAAAAAACAAAAAAACCCCCTGTGGTAAGTCTAATACACAGAAAAGCCCCTTATGGTTTCAAAATATACAACATGACACCTCATGCTTTGAACTAAATTGTAAAGGTGACGGAACCCGTTAAATTTAACGGAAATGACTTATTGGAACCTAAAAAAAAAATTTATACCTAATTTTTATCAAATATACCTATTCTACCCCTTAACCCTCAATTCTCTCTATTTAGAGAATAAAACAAATGATTTTTTTGAGTTGTCTTTTGTTTTATTATATCAGGGCATTTTGGTCATTTTGTTCATTTCCGTTAAGTTTAACGGATTCCGTCACCTTTACAATTTAGTTCAAAGCATGAGGGGTCGTGTTGTATATTTTAAAATCATGAGGGGCTTTTCTGTGTATTAGATTTATCACAGGGGATTTTTTATTTTTTACCCTTACTAAAAATACTCCTTTTAGTTCTTCTTAAGTTCTTAAATTATTTCTATAAATTTGTCCCCTCCTCGCTTCTTAAACCCCACCATTTTCCTATTATATATATATATATGGTTATGTTAGTTGACTCAAACTCGACCAAATATAGTTAGTTGAGCTCAAACGAACATTATAAACTGCAGCGTAGAGTAGGGATACTAATTATCTTTTTTTTGTTTCTTATCTAATTTAAGTTTACTGCTTTTTTTTTTTTGCAATCTCCTGAGACATGTGAAGTAGGCTTTATGTTTTGAGAAATAAATTGATACTTCCTGTTGAGATTATTTGTGCATTACATGAATTAAATTCCGATAATCATGAAAATGAAATTTCTCTTATATCTTTTTTCTGGGTAAAATACCGAAAAACTCTCTATGATTTGACAAATGTTCAATTTAACTCCCTTTGGTTTGGAAACCTACACTATAGCTCCCTATGGTTTCGACTAAATTGAAAATTGGACAGAAAGCATCAAATCTAATGGTTGTGTGTGAAATGTCAATATTGCCCCTACTATGTGTGAGATGCTTTCTATTTAATTTTCAATTTTGTCAAAACCGTAGGGAGTCATAGTGTAATTTTTTAAACGAGAGAGAATTAAATTGAACATTCAACAAACCATAGGGAGTTCATTTATATAGAGACAATATTGACATTTCACGTATAACCATTAGATTGGATGCTTTCCGTCCAATTTTTAATTTAGTTGAAACTACAGGGACTTATAATATACATTTTTTAATTAGAAGGAGTTAAATTAAACATTTAACAAACTATATTGAGTTTTTTGATGTTTTATCCTTTTTTTCGGTCAATCAACAACATCTATATTTACTTTACTCCAACTTCTACTCCAGTCAATTTTAAGGGGAGGTAGCCCAATTGGACTATGGGAATCAATCGAAATTGAGTCATCATTGGATCAAATGGAAACACTGCACACTTATATAGATTTGGAGAAGCATAAGGGAAAATGAAATTTCCCTTATGACAGAAAAAGGAAAAAAAGAAGGCAGACCATGAGTTTCGTTCAATAACTGCGTTCAAATAACGGTTTTATTCGATTAGATGGCCGCGGTTTTTTTCGAGAAGGACGTTACCTTTTCAGGGGGTAGTCGGTTGGCGGCATTCGCTGGTAGCAACTTTGCCTGGGCCCCACTTCCCCATCTGCCTTGACTCTTGACTCTTGAGGCCTATGTTTTCAGAATCGGACCGGATAGTGACTCGGCCGAGGTCAGGGGTCAGGGATCAATGGGTTCGACCGGGGGTCGATAGGGGTCGAACTGGATGACGTCATAAATAAAAATTATTTAAAAATTAAAATATTATATATATAATATCTAATAATATATTGATCTTAATAAAGGTATATTCATATATATTTGATGTTTCAAATATATTTAACAAGAAAATACAAAGAAATTAGAACAATCAAGTAGCAATTTATATTATTTAATAAATATTAACAAGTTTAGAATTAAAATTATGAATTAAATTGAAAAATAACATCAAATTTTAGGACAATACTTATAAAGTATCAAATATTTGAGGTATATCAATAAGTTTTAACAATTTAGGGGGTCAAAACATAATATTAAAAAGTTTGAATTTTTTTTAAAAAAATTACCGTTGAACTGGAAAAACCGATTTTTTCCCGGTCAAACCCGGTTTTTGACCGGCTTTGACCGGGTTTTACATTTCCGGTTTTTTAATATGACTCGGACCGGCTACCTGGCCGGTTCCCGGTTCGACCGGCCAGTTCGGTCCGAGTTTTAAAACAGAGAGCTTATGCAGTGTTTTATATGAAAGTATCTCTTTAGCAGAATATTGAGGTTTAAGAGAGATGGAGAGATCTTCCACAATCAGAACGATCATGTGATTATTGGTTATCTTCCTAAAATACTTCAAACATGTACGACGTTTAGATCAAGAATGTCATAATGTTTTTTGGACCAATCTTGTCCTAAGGCGTATGAAGGACTTTCGCTCAATTTTCTTCTGTAATGAACCAGCTCCTGATCCGTAGCCACTAGGGCCTGATCTTTTTTTTTTTTTTTTCGAGACGACAATTGTATAACTTATCTATCCTAGACTACTGGAGAGGGAAGTCTAAAGAGACTTTGTATTAGGGACTAGTAGGTACACAAATCTTACTAGACCAAGGGAGTGTTTTGGCACAACCCTAAGATTTTTTTTGTTACCGGTGGGATTTGAACCCCTACCTACAGTCCAAGCAGGGTCTTAAGACCCATCTTGGTGGCCACTGAGCTTACTAGGGCTATATTTTCAGAACCGGACGAACCGGACCAAATATTGACTTGGTCGAGTTCAGGGATCAGGGGCCAATGGATTCAATCGAGTTCGATAGGGGTTGAACCGGATGATGTCATAAATAAAAATTATTTAAAAATTAAAATATTATATGTAAAATATGTGACGCCCCACATCTCCCTAAGGCGGACCAAAGGGTATCCGCGGACGCCTACCCAGCTCTCGCCAGGACTCAAGCAATTCATTCAAGCTTAATGCCAGACCGAACGTCACAACAAAATAGAATACATAAACACAAAATGCGGAAACGTTCAAGCATAAAATCATCCATTATCCCACCCATAGACAGGGCGTTCAAAATACAACTTATATCCCAAATATACGTCAGGCTCAAAAGTTACACTTCAATTCCAAAGTACAATCCCAACAAAAGGGCATAGCCAAAAATAATAGAAACCTTAAAACAAAAGTACAGCGAAGGGTTTCTCCAAACTTCTCCGAGATTCGGTCCTGTTAAGGAAAACAAAACTATAGGGTGAGCTAAACGCTCGTGAGGCCAAGAACACACATGCAAGCACATTGTTCAAATAACAATCCCAAATTTACTAAATAAAACCAGGATATTTCAATAGTCAAATATTCTAGCAGGAAAAGAAATCAGAAACAATTCAAGGATATAGTAGCTCTCAGGAGCTAAGTTCCACTCGCTCTGTCGGTGTCATTCGTATACTTTCCCGCATTGACCCTCCTGTCAACCGGGTCGATATTTCCATTTCCGTAGATCACCACTTACTTCCCTCCGTCCACCGTACACCTCAAGGGCCCACAAGTCATTTTAAAAAGGCGATACTTCACGAGTATGCCAAGCAAAACCTCTTATTAGGTTGAGCTTTTATATCTCATGGCTCGTCCAGGTTCCCGACCAAGCCCAATGCCGGCTCGAGTCCCAGGGTCGGCCTATGAGTTTGGGCGTCCCCCATTCATTTGGAAGTCGAGGAGGTTCACTTCAACGACATATACAATCATAACATAACATTGCATTTCATTCATTCATTCAATACATTTCAATCATTCATTTGAAATTAGAACAAGTGCGATAAAGTACGCACTCGCACTTATTTTCTTAAAATTCCAACAATTACCACAAATAAACATGTATCAAAATTCACACACTTGACACTCACCGAGCAATTCAATAAGAATTATTTTCTGGGAGTTCAAGTATCCACTGTGAGATCCTCTTGAAGGTCTCCTTGTGCGCCTGGCAATTAATAGAGGATAATTGTTCAAATAATCCAATTATTAAGGAAGATTGTACCTGGTACAATCTAAAGAATATTTCATAAAAATGAACCTCAATTACTCGTAAATCGAGGTTCAACTTGCGTTTTATTAAGTACAATATTAATCGAGTGTTTATCATGAAAATCGAGGGCAAAACGTTTGAATAATGTTAAGAGAATTAAGAGTTTTTGGAAAAACTCATTTGCCTTAAAGTTTGAAAAAATTCAGTTTTATCATGAATCTTTGAAAATTCGAATCTCTCTCGATATAAGCCCAAAATTGGTAAACTTTATACCGTTGGAAACCTCTTAGAAAGTACTATAAGTTCCTAGAAGACACTTTTCCATGAATCGAAGTGGAAAGTGATAAAAAATGAGCTTAAAGACGCAGGGTTGGTTTACAAGGCAGAATGAAGTTGGATTTTGGCCAACTTCGAAAATTCGACACGATTCGTACGTTGCAAACCAGCCTCTGAAATTTGTCACTCAAGTAGTGTTGCAAGTGAGGTTTATAACAAAACAAGCGGATCAAGAATCGGAGTTTCGAGTGCCGAGATACGGTAACTCAAAGTTGGGGAAATTCAAGACTGGATGAGAATTTTCCAGATTTGATCCTCTAACTTTAGTAATTTAATTGGGCATCGAAACGAACTTGAATTGGCACCAAAATTGGCAGTATTTTACTCCTATATGAAGGGTATCTCTCTATCGAATTTCGGGGAAAAATACCTTTGGAAAGGTAGTTAATTAGCCAACCAAAGTTCAGGAAAAATTATAAGGCAATCTGCCTTTAGACTTCCATTACCCATTTCAAAACGTTTAATCAAGCCAACTATCCAATCATGGTTCATTTGTGAAATAAAGGCCTAAGAAATATCCATAATACCTTTGGCAAGTGATGAGCATCAAGACTTCAATTAATAAAATCAATCCCAAGTTTTTTTTCCAAATCAGTCCAAATACTACGTTTTTCCAAAACAGGGCAGTCCTCTTGTTTTAGTCACAACTCAATCAATTTAACTCGGAATGAGGCATGGTTTATGCCGTTAGAAAATACATTCATAGGGTTAAAATATCACAGAAGAAATCATTTCCAAATTCGGCACCCATCTGGTTCAAAATCGGACATCAAGTTTCTGCCTGAACACTTCATTCCAGATGAGCAGAGCAACAGGACAGCGAACTTAAAACATTTGGTTAGGCTTGCTCACAAAGAATCAGAACGTGAATTATATACCAAATTAAAGCTAGGAGTGTCTAGTTTCAAACGCCACCAACGGCACATGATTTTGACATCCGAGGACAGAGTTATAGCCGAAATACTAGCACTGGTCAGAATCATACGCGAACAGTTTTCCAGATTTGCTAGTTTCTAAAAAAAATTCATTTGCCCAACCAAACCTCATTATTTTTCAATGAAATTTTCCACACCTCTAATACATCATCTAAGCATCTAATATAAGCCATTAGATCATTAAAATTTAGCCTTAAAATGGCCGAACATGGCAGGGGCAAAATCGGGAATTTTTGCTTCTTGTACCCAATGAAGTTTCTACTAATTACCCACCACTAATGCATCATTATAACCACTAAACCAGCAATATAAACACCATCAATCATCAAATCAGCAACAACAACCCAAGTGTGGGAATTCCGAGAGCCCACAATCACATTTTTACACCATACACAAGCTAACCAAATGCATGCATGAACTTAACAAGGTAAGATAGCTTCCAAACTTCAAGTTTCCAAGAGTGGATCATCACTTACTTTGGGTTGGTGTTCAAGCAGAAATTTCGGCCCTCTAATGCACCAGAAAAACCGTGATTTCCAGCCCTTGTTTGCAGCTCAAAATGCTCCTCAAGTATCAAGCTAAGTGTGGTGCAAGTTTGGTTGAATTTGGAGAGGATTTGGGGTGGTTTTGAGTGAGATTTGTGGGCCGAAAATTTGAAGTAATGGAGTTAGAGAGAGGGGGGGTGTTAGCCGGCTGTTAGGTGAGAGAAGATGGAGTGAGTTTGATCTAAGTTGGCTTCTCAAAGAAGATTAAATGTGTGGTGAAAATTTGCTCCAAAGTCAACTCTCATAAGGGGCCGTTTGGCGCGACTACGGCTCGATTTTCTCGCGCGTTTGGTTCACTAGTGCACTAAACCTCTAATGCACTTATATTCATGTAAATATTATTCACTCTTAATTGTCCTGAAATAAGGGTCTAAAGTCTCTCAAATAAAGTCGCGCGTGTGAAAACGCGTACCGTCAGTTTTAACGCTATAACGCGAAACTTCCGAGAATTTCTTATAACGATTGCACTATTAACTATTACTTGAGTATTTATACCTAAGATTACCTATTTTAGGACCATAGTACAAGTTTCTAATATTCCAAGCTTATTATACTACTACGCGGATAAAATCTCCAAGTACTATTCACTATTTTTACTAAACGCACTCCAGGAAATTAATTTTTGAAACGAGTTACTTTAAAAATATAACGAAGTTATATTATCATGTGTTTAGGTCTAATAAGACTAGAAAATATTCCTTGGGACTAAAATCCAATTAAATAATTTATTAAGCCATAAATTAAGTTTAAAAATATTAGTTTTTACGGGTCCTCACAAAATATCCAATAACATTTTGATATTAATATAGGTATATTCATATATATTTGATGTTTCAAATATATTTAACAAGAAAATACAAAGAAATTAGAACAATCAAGTAACAATTTATATTATTTAATAAACATTAATAAGTTTAGAATTAAAATTATGGATTTAATTGAAAAATAACATCAAATTTTAGAACAATATTTGTAAAGTATGAAATATTTGAGGTATATTAATAAGTTTTAACAATTTAGGGGGTCAAAACATAATATTGAAAAAGTTTGAACTTTTTTTACAAAAGGTTCTGGGTTGGACCGGTTTTCCGGTTTTTCCCGGTCAAACCCGATTTTTGACCGGAGTTGACCGGGTTTTTGATCTCCCAGTTCTGATGAACAATTCGGATCGGACACTTGACCGATTTCAGGTTCAATCGATCAGACCGATCGATCTGGTCCGAATTTAAAAACACAGACTAGGGCCCGATCGATGTGGCAAACTTTTGGAACTCTCCCTCAATCCAACTTTGCATCTGGTTCGACGGAACTCCAATTCGACACCAGATCCAAGGCAGTTCCATTGCTGACTTTTTCACTCGTTTTGTGATTTTAGGGGTATTCTTTTTCCTTTTTATCTTAGTCTATGCTCATTATTAATCAAATTCCGTTTTATTTTTACAAAGTTTTCTTGAGTTTTCTCAAGATCTAGGATGATTCAGTTCGGGTCTTGTTCGAAGGCTTCTCACATTGTCATCCTTGGTTCCCTTTTGAGAGAAGATCCTATATCTATTTTCTGAATAAGCTTGCGCGGCAAATGTGTATGTAATTGCTCTGCTAATATAAATATATTTAGAGTAGAAATGTAACAGCACATAATTCGCCTCCCCCAGCCCAAATTCTTAAATCTCACCTTCTCTGACTAGTAAAAAAAAAAAAAAAAATGCACACACGCTCGCCCTGCAAGTACAAGCATTATCATGTTTTCAAGCGTCAAAAAAGTTGCAAGTTTTAAGATGTCTACTCTTTTCAATAAGATGGGATTTCGTTGCGAATTTTTCTCCAATCTTTCTTTCTGAAGTCCATTTTTGGATGAGGAGAAAAAGGAAAACAAGAATTGGTAAAATTACAAATCCTAATTACTATTCTCATCTTTCACTCAATGGTTTGGGTTTGTGTGCAGGTGGACTGAGACAACGTTTTAGTTGCTTGAGAGAATAGACAACATTATCGAGAACATTTGATGTAGTCACTTGTCGTGCTGCAACCCGCTATGGCTAAAGACATTACATGCCATGTCCTTAAATCATAAAATTCAAAAACGTAAGGTAACTTATTACATTAAAAAAATCTAACTTAAATTATTGTGCATTAAAATTTCAAAACACTTGTGTATTTAAATAAAATATAAATGGTATTAACCAAATTTTGAATGGGTTATAACTTGTCTAAAATTTATTTTGGAAATTATGGGAGTTACATTTTAAGAGTTCTAATCCTTTTAACGAAGGAGTTATATATCTTTACAATTATGGAATTTAAATTCATAATTATAAATATTGTACTAAATTACACACGTTACAATTTGCAAGAACCGTTCTACAGTGTATTTGGGCATGTAAAGATCATAATGGCTATATATTTGTATTAATATGACAGCCATAAAAATTAATTTGACCATTATATTTATAACTTATTTTCACTAATGACTTAGACATAAATTCTAGATTTATAACTCCTATCTTCTTCTACCCATAAATAGAGGCTGAAAAAAGTACGTTTCAAGTATATAATATTGTAACTATCTTTCTAACTCCATTTTTTATGGGATTCTTATATTATATTCTCTACTTCTACATAATTCCAGTATTAGAAGGAAATAGTGAGTTGGTCAATGTAAAATGTTGAGAGAAAGTTCTATCCCTCTTGATTATGCGAATTAAAGAGAAGCAACAACCTTGAGTTGGACTATTATATATTGGAGATGATGCGCTGGGACTTTCTGCATTGGAATTAAAAAATCTTGCAAGGGCACGAATCATTTTAAAAGAATGTCATTGCACGCCTCAATCCAACCGTATTTTTGCTGCCAATTTCACGATTGTCAACTTTGAAGATTTGTCGAGGTTGGAGGGTTGGATTAGGTAGTAAAATATGAGTGATTGTAAATAGAAGGTCATGGATTCATAACTTCGGACTTGCAAAAAAAAAAAAAAAACACTTTGTAGATTTGAAGATTTTGTCTTCTATGCCAATATAATGAAAATTTGTGATAGACCGCATTATATATATGTAATATTGAGGTAACAAGGTTTCTTGTTATCTTCATGTTGAATTAATTGGAGAAATTATTATTACTTTGTGATTATTTTAGCCCAACACAACAAAAAACTTAATGAAATATGCAATAATACCACGATAAAGTTACCTCATGCCCACGACGAGGTACAAAATGCCAAATAAAAGTCCATACAAAGACTATAAATAAATTGATCAATATCCCTGAAGCTTGATCATCACTCTGAATGGTAGTTTCAGTCATTTATAAGTAGGTCAAACACTTGCTAATATTTTTCAATAGCTGCCACAAATGTTAAGTTGCCGTGTAGTGAGCTATACGTGCTCAACAAACAATTCATCTTTCCTTTTTTGGACCTTATGAATTACACATATACACATACATTTAAAAAATTCTTTGCGCAATCTTGTCAAACATATACACATGCATGCATCAATCTTGTCAAACATACCTCGCATGTTACATGTGTATATGGCTAAGTGGCACATAACATGAACTTGAAAAAACTTGTAGTCGAAGTAACATGACATGATAAAGCATAACTAGATAAAACATAACCAATTAAAACATTTCCCCATACGTCAAACCGTGCGTTCATTAGTTTCGAATATTTGAGCTAGAGGTGACAATATGGATAAATGATTTATAATTGATTTTGACTTAATGGATGGTTTAGATCCATTTATTAAATGGATGGATCTAAATGGATTAAATAAAAACCAATTATTCATTTATAATCCATTTAAATATTTTGATTACTTTTTTTTTTGTATTACCATTTCTTGTAATATGAAGATACTTTTTTATGTACTTGTAAATTTTAGGTGTTGAAAATGACTAAAATCAATAAATGACAAAAATAATTGGAACTAGCCATGAAGATTGTTGTACAAATAGCCATATGGTAATTAATGAGGGATTAATGGGGACTAAATCACATCATAATCTAAGGAGGAAGGTTCAACTGGCCTACGGAGGACTAAACCACACCCGTATGAATTTTTTGAAAAAATCACATATTGTGACAATTAATAAGAGGTAATATTTAATCTCTTGATCTCCCACCCCATCATCATACCAATCATCATACGCCTTTGGCAAATAACTAAGGTCGACTTCAACAATTCTCCCAGTAATATTACTACACTTGACCCGTTCCCAGGTGCAGCAATCAGCATTTGCTCCATCACCTTCTTTTCCAGTCCACGAAGAAAGGATAAGATGAGCATTTGTAGTCACATTTAAGGAAGCTTTGAAGTCCAAGAGAGCATGTTTTTCTTCTAAAAAGCAACCTGAGCAAAGTAGTCCTCCATTGAGTATTATTGATACAACGACAGCCCATGAGGCAATCAGAATGGAATGACCGCGCATGATTTCAGTATGGAGAATTAGTGAAGGAAAGTGTTGTAATGAAAATGGAAGGCAGGATAATTTATAATCGCTTATCAATGTACTGGAACGCAGGGCCGGAGACCGGAGACAAGTCAACTCAGGTGTAAAACAGTGGCGGATTCACACTGGGACACTGGGGGCACGGGCCCCACTCATCCCCTTAAATTTCTATGATACTTATAATAATTTGGTGTAATTTCAACTGTGTCTCTTAGAGTTTTGTGTATCTATTGGTTTATAGGCTCCCACTGCCCCTTTTAAATTTCTATAATACCTATAAAAATTTGATGTAATTTCAAGTGTGCCCCCTGGAGTTTTGTGTATCTATTAGTTACTTTTATTGAGAAAAATATACTTCGTGAAGTTCAAAATAAAAAGGTTATAAACTGTTATTAAAATATGAAAACTCGCTATGAGCAATTATAAATGGTTTAGTTTGTTTTGAAATAAAATTATTATTACATTAATAATTTTGAGTTTGTCTTTTGATTTTTTCATGAAATATATGTATCATTTGTACTTGTTGATGAATATTTTTTTCCTTAAAAAACTGAAAAAAGAGTAGGTAAAAAATTTTAGAGTTGCTTTTGCCCCCACTGAAAAATTTTTCTGGCTCCACCACTGGTGTAAAACGTCAAGTATGCGATCAAGCCTAGTTAAACTCATTATATTAGAGGTTTCTTACATTCTTCTAAGCAACTCGTTATATTATCAAAGCCCATAATTGAGTTATTATTTTGAGCGCATTTATTGTTGTTGTTTTTCATGTTTTTGATAAGAAATTTCTACTTCGGTCCGTCAATCTGGCGGGCAGAAAATGAAATGAAGTGCAAAGTTCTCAAAATTGGAGTGCAGATTACGGGGACCAAGAATCAAAAGAATGTTGGTAGCACAGTAATGTATTGCACTCCCTATTTTGGAAGAAATTATGACTCGAAAGTCTTGTTGGTCTTTCAGAGGAGTGAAGAACGCGTAAACATCTACCAACCCAACTTTAGAAGGAAATGCTTGACTAATGGAACTGGAAGCTTGTTGGTCTTTTTATTGGTTCTTCCTCTTGTGGAACTGGAAGAAATTATGACTCGAAAGTCTTGTTGGTCTTTCAGAGGAGTGAAGAACGCGTAAACATCTACCAACCCAACTTTAGAAGGAAATGCTTGACTAATGGAACTGGTAGCTTGTTGGTCTTTTTATTGGTTCTTCCTCTTGTGGAACTGGAAGCTGCAAAATCAGCCACTAAATTATTGTACACCTTTGCTGATCCTGACCAAGTTGTTCCAACCTGTAAAATCAGCCTCCGGTAAGCAATAATATATTAAGTTCAATAACTAACTCAAATTGATATATACCTTATCTGATCAAGGTAAGTGACCATATTTATGTAATAATGTTAACAGTTGAAGTTGACGGAGTTAGCCTCATAATTAATCATAAAGAGTCTAGTGGGTTAATGAGAACAAAAATAGTTCAATAGGCTAAGTGAAATTTTACTCTAAAATTAATTATGTGATTTATGACTGTAAGCACAAAATGAATTATAGATTTTGATCTACTAGTTAAGGTTGAGATTTCAAGATTTAAAGATTTTGGGAGGGGTTCCATTCTCTCTTTTTTCCTCTTGCTTTTTTAAGTCCTGCCCCTCTCCTGCTTGAAAAAACAAAGCACAAAGTGAACAATAATTAAATACAACAAATAGAAGAACACAAGTAAAATCCAAAAGTTAGAGAGGTAAGAACACATAACACGAAAATTTCTAAACAACTATAATTTCTGACACAAATGTAAATTAATTTACGTTTTTATATAACGAAAAGTTCTATTGTTGAATGCGTTCCTAATATTTTGAGAATTGATCATTAGGGGAAAAAAAACAAACATGGAATCGAACGTCCTAATTAAGAAGCTACAAACACCCCAATAGATTAAGTGAAAGTTTGCCACCGATTTAGGGCTTTTCGACTTTAGTTTTAGGAATATGCACAAGCAAAAAAATAGAATGATTGATTTGTCTAATCTCAAATACGAAATACTCAAAATCTATTCATAATGGTATAGAATCAAGATTCATCAGGCATTGTTAACAAAGCATTATTTATTTAGTTTTCCAAGAAAATTACCTTTCACCCTTGAATTGAGAATTTCATTTCCAAATCTTTTTTTGTCTTTTGGAAATGCAAAAGTTTGAATTCAGAACCTCCTACTTACAATCCATTTGTCTTACCACCCAACCCTCCCCCTTATTTCCTAATCTTGTTTAATTATTTTCTAAAAGTGAAGCAAAAAATTTCTTTTTGCTTATTACTAAAAGGGTAAAAAACAAAAAAAACCCCCTGTGATAAGCCTAATACACAGAAAAGCCCCTTATGGTTTCAAAATATACAACATGACACCTCATGCTTTGAACTAAATTATAAAGGTGACGGAACCGTTAAATTTAACGGAAATGGTGGTGGAAACAATCATGACTTACTATACATGCATTTATCTGTGTAATCCAACCTCTGTCTCTAGAGGATTTTCGTGAACAATTTTTGATTTGGCATCTTTGACAGATATTGCACCATGCACGTATTTGTTGATAGTCTTGGTAGTATTTTAGAAAAATGAGAGAATGGGGAAAACAATGGTGATAGCAGGTTGAAGCATTTCTAAAGTTTTGGGTCATCAGATGTGTGTGTGTGTGTGTGTTTCAAGTTTTGCTCATGAAAAACCAAAGGTTATTTTCAAGTTTACAATAAAATTACGCACTATAATTGAGGTACATTTTTGTTACCCAAACCCTTGAGAATTTGTCTAATTTTCCTATCAAATGCCATTAGAATTTGAATCTCGCCTCCCCTTCCCCCAAGGGGAGTGGGGGCACAACCCCCAAACACAAAAACAGCTAACTACTATAACATAGCAGCCGACAGGTAACTGTTTTAGGCTTCTTAAATCCAAATTTACCCTTTTTCCCAATTAATGATTTTTTGGCAACATTTGACTAAGAATTTGAGTTCGTCTTGACTATATAAATTTTTATTTTTATATTTTTATAATAGGCAATAGCTACATTATTCCTACTATAACAGACACTAAGGGGGGACTCAACCAGGCAATGAGGGGTGGTTAGAGGTAGAGAATTCCATCTTTTGATCGAAGGAGTGCATTATTACATACTTGGATTTTATTCTACATTATTATTCCTAATCTAACTAACGCTTGAAAACGACTCAGCTTGGCCATGGGAGGCTAGAGGTAGAGGATCCCATCTATTGACTAAAGGGGTGTACTATTACACACCCTTTGAATTTTACTACAAGTATATAGGTTTGAATCTCGGACTTGTAGTCAAACTTGCAACTTATGTTTCACATGATCAGATCTCATATGGCGAATTGCTTGAGTCTTTGACAGTATGCCAAAATGAAATCGATTTCTTGGAACCAGTTGGTCAGCTTCGTGTGAATATCACATTCTCATATAAGATTGAGTTTGGGGTCATTTGTGTTGTGAATTTAGGCTCTTTCGACAGCTTGATTTTGGAGTTATTTGTCTTTGAAATTTTGGCAGGAAATAAACGTTGCATGTGGTGCAAGTTGTTAATTTTGAGGGTTGGGATAAATTTACTTATTTGCTCTGCTGTGTGGACTTATTCTGTCTTTGTTTTGGGGCAAGTGTCTTTGGGGCTATATAGGTATTTTGATTTGTGGGTGGATATATTTGTGCAAGTTGCACAAGCAGGTGAAGTTATAAATGTGAATGAATTGACAGCTTTATACTTTTATGCGGTGGAAGATTTTGTTACAGCTTAATCACTCTATTTGCTTTAAATGAAGATAATCATTGTTTGGTAACAGCTACTAGTAGAAGAAGCTTATAATCATGGTGAAATTTCTATTATGCCCTTGCATGCTCACCCTATTCTTCTTCCAATTTAGTGCGCATTCACGTGGGATCTGAATAATTTTTTTCCTTTGATGTGGTTATTTTTTCAAGCACACTTAGAGCTCTCATTTTTGTAGTTTTGGTTTTGTTTTTGGCATTTTGTGTATTGTGCATTTTCTCTATTATTGAATTACATTCATTATTTGTATAATTGTTACAATTGTTACCGAACCAAATCCAACATTTTTTTAACCCAACAACTCGAATAAGGGTTAGGCCTGAAGTAGGGCCAGGTCCTTTTGTTTGTCAAAAAAAAAATCCAATATTTTTTTAAGTCTGTTTGGTTGGACGGAAAACATTAAATGTTTTTCTATTCTACTGTTTGGACACAATTTAATTTGAAAAAATAATTTCTAACGGAAAATAACTTACACGAGAAGTTTGGATAGAAAATTTTTTCAAAATAATTTTTAATTTATATCATAAACATATTTTCAATCTATTTTTAAATATTTTTAATTATTCTTTTATCTCATATATAATGCATCATAAAAAGTGTTACCGTAATTATTTCAAAATAAAATGCTACAGGGAAAAAGTGCTAGAGTATTTGGAATAATATTCTATCATTCTGAAGTTATTTACCTTTCTTAAAATCACGGCCTCTTCTTTTCACGGCCTTCAAACGGTTGAAGATCCATTGGCAAACCGAGCCCTTCATCACCGGCAGCATATCCAACTCCGGCGAAGACTCACTTTCAGAGGTAGGCTACTCTTTCAATTAGGTTATTCTCTTTTTAAAAATCATCTAAATTATCATCTCCCTCTCTCTCTCTCTAATTTTTTTTCCTTTAAAAGCAGCCAATATCAACGGCTCTTCCCCACTCTGGCAGTGACATCTCGTCCCCATTCCTGCAACAGCATCTCCAACAAGGTCGAAAACTCCTTAAGTATTTCCAGAGGTATGATGGTCACTTATTAGTTTTTTTCCCTCCCTTTTCCTTTGAAAAATTGTCTAGAATTACTGGTGTAGATTCTTGAAGTTGGGTTGGAATGAATTTTTGTGAGTTGCTTTTGTTTTAGTTTGTTCTTACCTGATTAGGGTTACATTTGATTTGATTGACGCTAATGAATTAATTTGGCTGCTGAGTTTTGGGGGTTTTACCATTCTTGACTGACAAATTAATATGCGCAAGCTGCGAGGGATGGATTCTGATGTAGTTCCAGCAGCATTGGTACAAGATGATTTGGCTGGTTGATTTTTGTATGTCAACTTCACATTCTTTTGGGGTACTTAAGGACACTATCTTAGAGTTTAAAAGTTTATTTGGTATTTGACCTAATTTTCAAGAATATAATGTGTTTCTTGCTGTGTCTATGAGGAGTTAAGAAGCGACCTTTGTTCTATTTTTCGGATTCCTAGAGGTTCCTTGAGGTTTTTAGACTGCAAATTTTCTAGAGCAGTGTTGGATAAGGTTCAGAATCTTTGTTTACTTTATTTAGGCACAATCACTTGGACAGAGGAGGTTCAGTGGTGGTGCAAACATTGCAGCACAAACTCCTTTGGTCACATAGTTAAAAGGCTTGCTTTTCCTATAACAATCTACTTTCTTTGGCAGGCAAGGAACAAGTGTATTTTTCAGCATCTGAAACCTCAACTGTAGGTGTAGTTGCTGCTGTAACTAGTATTTAGTGCCATGCAGTTGCCTGTTGCTTCCTAGAGTAAGATTCCACACACTAAAGAAACTGAGAGTTGGCAATAGATTGGGGCTTTAGATCATAGCTGTTTTCTTTGTGTGTGTGTGTGAGAATCTACAGCAAGATATAGAGGAGAACATATTATGAGGCTTCGACTGATTAGGCCCTGATTATTAGTTGCATATGTGTGCAAATAATGGAATTCCATGATTTCAAGTTCCAATTTCATCAACCTGCACTTAAGACCAAATCAAATCCAGACCCTAAACTTAACGTCACCACCAAATCCTCCAAAATGCAAGTCGAATCTTCAATACAGACTTAGACACCTGTCAAATATATTGAAGTACAAGTTATCAGAAAATTTTGTGTATTTTGAAATATGCAGAAAGGGATTTTTACTTAATTGTCCATCTTCATGCTTTGCTTTCTTTTGTTCAAATGGAAAAAATGTTAACACAAATTCTTCATTATCTTTAGCTAGGAAATAAAACTAGACAGACTTTCAAGCTTTCTATGTTTACTTTAATTATTCCTTGGATAGAAATGTCAAATACATTCAATATCAATAATGCTTGGTAAATAATTTATAAATGCAGAAGTTTACCTGACCAGGATAGTTGATGTTATCTGGGCAATGTCAAATACATTCAATATCAATAATTATTCCTTGGATAGAAATGTCAAATACATTCAATATCAATAATGCCTAGTAAATAATTTATATATGTAGAAGTTTACCTGACCAGGACAGTTGATGTTATCTGGGCAATAGTTCTGGTCAATAATGATGGGGTTTTGGACATTAATCATAGTGGCATGCTGGAACAAAACATCCTTAACAAAACCGCCTACCCCATGATTTAATCCTTGCACCATTCTGTGTATTCCTGAATGTAACACTTTTTATTGTCACATTCTGTACTCCCTCTTCTTCAAAATCTTCTTCAAAATCATTTATTTTTATGCCTGACACCTGTCGAAAATATTGAAGTACAAGGTATCAGAAAAGTACACCATGGTCTCTTTGCCCAGTTAGATAGCTAATATTCTTACATCATGGAAGGAGTACTGATATTGTCTGACTCTCTTACGGGAGAGTGACTATTAGTTCATGGCATTACTTGTGAACCAAAAAACAGAAATATTTGTAGAAGATTGGCATGAATGAGGTGATTTAAGCCTTGTGTGCATACAAAATAAGGGAATGAAAGTGGTAGAAAGTGACAAATATTCTGTTATGGGTACATGATGTATCTTTAAACTACTGGAAGATTCCATAGCTTGTCCACCGCCGGAAAAGCCATTTCACTTTCTCCTGGAATTTCCACCTTCAAATTCTTTTTATGTATCACTTCTCCCTCCATTTTTGTCTTCTTTTTTCTTTAACTTAAAGCAAAGCAAAAAAACATGTTGAATTATAAGTTGTTAGTGTTGCATATAACCAAAATAATTGACAGAAATTACAACTTGAAAACTTACTTGAGTTCGGGAGTTGATAGCCAGCAACTCTATCAAGTTAGTAACAAAGTGCATGGCTGGTTAGTCTGGCTTTGCTTTAAATAAAGAAAAAGCAAAGCAAAAGTGAAGAAAAGAAGTGGATAATTTGTCTATGGTAAACATAAGACAGGTGGGGGTGGGACTGCACTTGTGTTAGCTCTATCAAGTTAGTAACCTATAGCGATGCTAAGTGATATTAAGCCAAACAGCAGGGTAGCTTTGTGAAATTATTCCAAAATGAAAAAGGGATAATTTCAGAAACCTCCCTTGAGGTTTTGAACAATTTCACTCGGCTCCCCTTAGGTTTAAAAAATTACACTTGCCTCTCTTGGTATAGTAAAATACCTATAATGCCCTCCACTTAGCAAACAATAAGGCAATAAATTTACAAAATCCACAAGAAAATCTATTCTTTTGTCTCTTGTCTATTTCGCTCCTCTCGTTTCTAATTAATATAACCTCTTTTTATTATCTTCAATTTTGTAGATATTAGTGAATTGAAATTACAAAATCAACAGAGAGAGCAGATTATGTATGAAATCAGAAGGAAATGAAGAGACCCATAATGATAGAGAAATAAATAATAAAATAGATGATTGAAATATGAAGAAGAACTAAAATTGTGGAATTTGTCATATTTTGTTTATTGTCAAGAAAAACTTTAATAAAATGCCAATAATTACATGAGGATTTCTTTCATTGATTAGAAATTTTTATTATGATTTTACTATGAAAGTAGAATTTATTTTCTACTTTTGAGATATTAATATTTTTAACACCATAGGAGGGTTGTAATCGCGGTTCTAAGCCAGATTAGCTTGTGTTAAAAAGGTATTTGAGCATTGATATTTAATTTTGGAGTATAATTGGTTGTCAATGGGGTTTGTGTGTGTGTTTTTTTCTTTTTTGCATAGCAAGTATTGATACTATATATGCAATTTGAAATTTTTTGAATGGCTACTTGATTTTAGAGTTTATGTTTTGATGGTTGTTAAGGATTATATTTGTTAATTTATGCAAAGTGTGAAAGACAATGATTGAGTATACTATATTGTTATTTCTTAGTTTTGAACAAATGGCAATTTAGGAATTTTGTGAGAAAATCTATCTTGTTGGACCTTCGTTGTTACTAAATAGTAAAAATAAGAGAGGTTTGTGTAATCTTTAAAATCTAAGAGGAGCTTAATGTAATTGTTAAAACCTCACGGGAGGTTTGTGAAATTATCCCAATAAGAAATGGAAACAGAATACAAATGACAACCACCTAGGACCACAGTCGACACGGGAGTTGGTGAAGTAGGCTGTGTTTTAGACTTGGACTGGACGGATCGATCGAACTGGGAACTGGCCAGATAGCCGGTCCAATTCAGATTAAAAACACGAAAGGAATATATTTGGTAAAATCCAGTCAAAACTAAGGTCTCACAGGTGAACCGGTATAATTTATTAAACCCGATTTTTCTATTTTTGCCTAATTTTTTTTTACAGCTTCCTTGACTTTGTCTTCCATTTGACCAACTAAATAAGCGAAAAAGAGGCAAAAAAAAATCTGGGAAAATAGCAAACTCGACCAAACGATATATTCTGTCTTCCCGTTTGTTTTCGTAACCCTAGCTCCTCTACCAGTCCACCGCCGCCGTAGCGCCGCTACCACCAGGCTTGTGCACCTCCTCCGGACTTCACCATCTCTGATTGCCCTGCTCCTTTGGTGTAATTTTTGGATGCCAACTTCAAGCCTCCACTGCTAGAGAGTGAAAATGAGTTGCTAGAGAGTAAGCAACAGGAGTTAGTGGAGACAATTAGTAGCTTACTTCAATCAAAACATTTTTTCCAAGTTTATAAGGTTTGCTTTAGTTGGTTTTCTGTTATTGGGAAAGTTTGAAAGTTTATCAATTGGTAAACGGATTGCAGTTAGAGATGATAGAAATTAAATTAATGTGTTTCTAATTGTTTAATGAGGTGGGATTGTGCATGTTTGAGTGGATTAATAGGTAAAGACCCATTTGAGTTTGCTATGCCAGAACGCAAATTGAACATCCAAGGCAAATTTCATAACTTCTAGTCTCTTTGGGTCAAGCTAATAACTATATTATGATCTTTCTTTTTTTTAAAAAAAAAGAAAAAAATTTATTGAATCTCTCTTCTTTTGGTAATCAAAATTAACCTTGCTGCTTAATGGCTTAGAGGTGGAATGTTCTATCTGTGTTGCGAAGTTTGTACTTTGTATTCCTAATCATCCATGTGCAAAAGCAGCACTGTGATCAGAAAGTATCATATATTCTGTTAAAAGCAATCTTAAAGAAAGAAAAGTGTAGGTTATGACCTTTCATATCATATCCTGGGGCTGTTTTAATAAATTCACTCCTGGCTTTTTCTTCTGTTTAGCAAGAATTTAGCACAGAAGATACACTTGTCCTCGATGATGTAGATACTTAATGAAAAAGTTTGACTAGTGCTATTCCTTATATTCTTTCCAGAGTGGGGTTAACTTAATTAATTCTTTTATGGATTGATTTAGTTGACTACAATGGCCTAATTGGGCAAGGAACAGCAAAAACACATTGCCTACAATTGTTCTAAGTATATGACCAAAGACTAAAGGTATCAACTATCAACCATAATATAATAGTTTATAATATAAAGCAGATAATTGCTATCAGTGTGTTTGGCTTTTGTAGTGATAATTGCTTCTGTCTCCATCTTTTATCAACCAATTTTTGCTTTTGTAGTGACCCTGGACCCCTGAGTTTGGCCAAGTTGATTCCCAGTCCGCATCTGAAAACATAGGAAGTAGGTAGTGAAAGAGTGGTAAGCCACTGACCATAAATCACCCCAAATTCCCCCCCGCAACAGATCTGAGCTCATATTCTCCTTTCTTCCTTCCTCCACATTAGCAAATTCTACTTCATCTTGGTGGGTTTTTTACCTTTCATTTTCCAATTTTAATCTCTAACCCCCCCTAACAAAAAAACCCACCCCTAACCCAAAAAAAGTTTAATTAAGCAGTAGTATTTATGAAATGGAGCTCTTTGTGGCGGTAATTGTGAATCGCAAACAGGGAGAAGTCAAAACAAGCAACTCTTCCGGATTCGTAATTTGATAGTTTGGGGCGTTGAAATTAAGAAAAGTCTGGTTATTGCCGTCGTCGTCAGAGAAAGCACTAAGCAGCAGAGCAGCTTGGGGTTAATTGAATTAGAATTGATAAAAATGTCTCTAAGAATAAAGGCGGTGGTGGACAAATTTGTGCACGAGCTAAAGGAGGCTCTGGACGCGGACATACAGGACCGACTCATGAAAGAGAGGGAGATGCAGAGTTACATTGAGGAGCGGGAACGCGAGGTCGCCGAGCGTGAAGCCGCTTGGAAGGCCGAACTCTCTCGTCGTGAGGTACTTTACCCCAACCCCTCCCCCTCAACCCTCCACCGTAAACCTGTAAATCACCTTTTATTTAGCATAGCATTCCCTACTCCAAGTTCATTGTCATTTGTTGATTTGCTTTCTTTATCTCCAATTCATCATGTTTCGATTTTTCCCAATTGATTTCCCACTAATTGGTAATTGGCTATATGTTTTTTTTTTGTTTGAAAAGATGCTGCCACTATATTCTTTCCTTTTTAACTCAATCCCGTTCTCCTTCTTTATAAATGTAGTAATAGTCTATTGGTATAGTCTAGTAGGTATTAGATTGATTGCATAGTCAGTTTCTTTGTCTGTTCCCCCTCCATTTGCTTTTGTCTTTGGGTTGATAGCAGCAGCTGTATCAGGTGGCAGGTTTGCTGGCCTTTTGATTTAATTGGGTTTCAAATGACAATGAGGATGGATTTAGGATGCTCATCTTTGGACAATTTTTTGGCTGACTGTTAATTGACAACTGGATTGGAGTGGTTTTAGAAAGCTCATTATAGTATTGAATTTGTTAAAGGGGATGTTGTAGAAAGATGCAGACTTGGAGAGGAATATACGGTGATAAGAGGACCGTTTATATGGTGATATTTTGGTGGTTGGAATGGAGATGAGTATGCTATGTTGGCACCATCACCTATAATAGTCGACTTTTGCCCCTTTTTGGTTGGTTTTTGACTGGTGTTGATGCTATATTTGAACAATTTGAACTTTAGAGTTGATTGATGTACTTTTGTTGGGTATAACTCACCATGTTGCCTTAATCTGGTCAAGGCTGCTGATGAGATTTTGGCAAATGCTGCAACTCAGAAAAAAGAAAAAGAAGTGAGAGAGGAAAAAGCAATAGAAAAATGAAAGAATAACATGCATTTCATTCTGATATGAAGCAAGCTTTGCAAGTGGTTTTTATTGAAATCCTGTTTGATCCTGTAATACATGATGTTTATTGCAACATTGATTGCCAAACATGAACAAGTGGCCTGTTATGTGAGCCTTTTTTCATCATCATTTCGTTCTTTTCTGATCTTTGCTTCTAAAACTTCTAAAGATGTGGAGCCGTTTTGCTTGGAAATCTTTTATGTCCTGTTTCCCTGTCTCTTTTCCTTCCACAGAGCATTGATCAACTGCTGAACTAGTCAATAAGAGATTATATTTTGATCTTCTAAGCAGGCTTGGTTCTTGATGCTAGTAATTTGAGGCTCAATTTCTTCTTCTATTACCCATCCTTTGTAAATATTCTACTAAGAAGCCTGCAATGAGGTTATATGAGAAGCTTCACAGACGAAGCTTTGAACCTGGGTAACACTCTATGAATCTGGAGTCTGCATGATTTTTGGGTTGGGGCTTCGTGCAGGCAATAGTTGCTTGATTATTTCACAAACTATGCACAGGCTGAACACATGAACTCAGAGGAGCTTTGTGAATTTCTTCTACATAGGATCTGCCAGGAAACATTTTTCAAGAAGCATACTCCTTTAGTATCTATTGGATTATTCTAGTGGGTTGTAACTAAATGAGCTTGTTCTCATAGTAAACCTACTACCGATAGTCCAGTGTCAACTAATATTATCAAACAGTTTGTGAAGTGGGGGTTGCAAGAGGTTCAAAATTGTTGAAATAGGAATTTAGATTAAGGCCACTCATACTTGTTTTTCCTTCTATGAAGAATTGGACTGGTTGAGATCTTGGGAGATTCCAAGTTCAAGAAAGAGTCAAATCAAGTCTTTATGTTGACTGCTACAAAGACAGAAACATTTTTGTCCAATTATAGCAGTATTCTTTCCAGAGTCTTCCATTCCATGTCGTAATAATTTTATACTCTTGGATTGCCTAGGCCGATCAATTTGGACTATGATGGATTGTATGAGAGCGCATCTGTTCTTTCATTTGTCTTTCTGCACCCCTACTTCAAATCCATGTTACTTTGTCAAATTGAAGTCAATTTCATACCTTGTAGCTCAACATTTATCTCCACCACACTACGGAATTTACTATGAGAGTAGTTTTTAAGGTTTAGCATTTCTTTAAACTTCTTACTTAACGATGTTTCTATTTCAGGCGGAGATTGCCCGGCAAGAAGCTAGATTAAAACTGGAAAGAGAAAACCTTGAGAAAGAGAAAAGTGTGCTGATGGGAACTGCATCAAATCAAGATAATCAAGATGGAGCTCTTGAAATTACAGTTAGTGGAGAGAAATATCGCTGCCTTAGGTTTGCTAAAGCAAAGAAGTAGTATTCTAGGGGTTTAGGTTTATGAAATACATTAATCTTGTACATCTACGGTTTGTAAATGTTCAACCAAGGATACGAAAATGCTTGATAAAGGCCAAGTTTCATTATTTTCTCGTCTGACAGTTGATCTCTCTGATGAGAGTAACGCCACTTGGAATTACGTTTGTTGTTAAGCTGTTTCTTTTGCTGTGAAGGACATTGACGATCGTTATTCTGAACAAAGTAAATATTTCTTTTTAGATGGCGTGCAATGGCTTCTTGGTTGCTGGACTTCTTGATATTGGCGCTACATCCAAACTACCAGCTCTGGGACAGAGTCGAGGAGTGGATCTTGCCCCCAAAGAAGAACCTTTCAGTTCCACTGACTCACTCACCTCCACTTTTATTTCTTACTTTTCATGCTAAGTGGTCCAGACTCATTTGGGAAAAAGTTTAAGTTGGGACCAAATTTTATCAATATAATTTTATAAAGGATATAAATTTACCATTTTAAAAGTGAAGAATGAAAAAATTCATTTGACGAAATATGATAAATGTTTTGAAAGATTTTTCCATAAATGTTTTGAGTCCCTGAATTGGAATGCATTTTCTTTTTGATCCAGTGGATTTATTTAGTCCCCGTTGTTAGTAGAAGATCTAATGGGGTGCTACATTTAGAATTGATTAACATGATGGTTGATGATGCGGAAACTAATACATCACTCAGTCTATGAGTGAGTCACAAATTGGGTCCATCCAAATTCTTGCCTAACTATTTAATTTTACATTTGTTTAATAGAAGACCTCCTACAAAAACAGCTTTTCTATGATGGATCTGAGGAAGAAGAGGATAACACCATGCTTGAAAAGGGAGAAATAGATGAAGCCGGATCTGCAGAGAAGACTAAATCGAAGTTCCCAAAAACAATGATACCTATGGAGGACATACTTGGGATGTGGAAACCGTGGATTTGGCTGTCAACGATCCGGGTTTGGACTCGGGCTTGGACCCACTAGTTTGGATCAGGTACGGATTGAGAAATAATCTCGTTACCTAGATTCGGACTCGTACTCATTTACTCTAACAAAAAAGTGGGTTGGATATGAAATATACGATTTTGACCAGAATCCGTTTAGCTCTCATGAACATGCTTAAATACTGTTATGAGTTAGGTGTGAAGTATGTTACAATTTACGCCTTCAACATTGACAATTTTAGAAGACGTCCTGAAGAAGTTCAGTCCACTATGCGGTTGATACTAGAGAAAATTGAAGATTTGATTGAGGAGGAGAGCATGGTCAATCATTATGGCGTTAGGATTTACTTTCTAGGCAGTCTTAAACTTTTGAGCAAGCCGGTAAGGTTGGCTGCAGAGAGGGCCGTAGTTGCTACTTCTAGGAATTCAAAAGCTGTGCTGTCAATTTGTCTTGCCTACACTTCCTCAGATGAAATTTTGCATGCTGTTCAAGAGTGTTGTGAAGAAAAATGGGATGAAGGAAGTGCATTGGAGTCAAAAGGAGCTGGAAATGGTTTACTTTTTCTGAAAGGAAACAAGAATGACAAGAGCAAGCCTTCAATCGTAGTCAAGGATTTAGAGAAAAATATATATGCTGCGGTTGCACCTGATCCTGATATAATTATACAGACTTCAGGTGAGACTCGATTGAGTAACTTTCTTTTGTGGCAGAGCGCTAACTGTCTTTTATATGCATTTGGTTTGGGCAATCTTGGTTTTTCAAAGAAATTTCGCTTATTTGAAGGAGAAAACTAAGCAATCATAAGTTAGCTGGTGAGAGTTTGTTGCTATTTTTGCAACTCATCATATGGTTTTGTTGATTGGTCTTTTAACTGATTTCCACTTTCATATTTTTTTCACTGAGACAAAAACAAACAGGGGACAGAATTTTGTTTTTGTGTCCCTGTGCTCAACATAGTGATGACACATTTCACAGATGTAGGGGAATATGGCATATAGTTCCTAACAGGATCAGATATAGTTCTCCATATATTGTGTTTGCGTTATTAGAATTCTGTTGTATCTTTGTTTTTGTGGCATGGGATCTATTGTACTGTGTACTTCACAAGTAGAAAGGATTTTTTCCGCTTTTCAGTTCAGCTCGGGGAAGTATTATGAAAACGTAAGAGTCCTTTACGTTTCTTTCTTATTTTAATTGTATTTTTCATTGTGACTTGTTGCACATATTCTTGATGGGCGATTTGCTATGCATTGTATCCTGAAAAATTTGAAAGCAGATGGATGACACATAAAGTTTCAATTTTAGTTGCATTCTGTTATAATTCATCTTGATAGCCCTCAAAAATCTGAAAGTGCATATCTTTATTGAGTAAGATATCTTTGGAAAATACATTAAAGAACAAAGTGGTGTGGTGATCTTTATAAATGTGTGCAAAATAAACAGCATTTTTATTTATAAATCAAGAATAATGGAGATTAGGCATACTTTGGGGTTTAGCATGGTATGCTTCTTTGTTAGCATTTCTCTGATAAAGTACAGCCACTGCCGGCTTTCGCGTTTCTCTGCTGCAATCACTTGATTTTTGGTCTGTAGTTTATTAGTTTCTTGCGCTTCCTGATTATGTTACAATATTGAATTCCAAGGAAGATGCAATGAGATTAGGCATACTTTAATGGCAACTAATTTGACACCAAGGCTTTGATCCTCGAAACAAATTCAAACAAGTATCATTTTTTATTTCAGAAATTTCAAGGTCTTTTTTTTTTTTTAATGGGTTGCTGCATTACTCTGTCTTGCCTGTGTTCATTGAGCACTCGCATTTTTGTTTGTTGGGGGTGGTTATCTAAATTTAACCACTGGTGAAAACCATCACCTATTGAACCCAAGATCTATATGACGATTATTAAGAAATAAATAAATGATAAAATAGCGGAAGCGTACCTGAATCCATATTGATAAACTTAATACTTGTATCCTTAGAGATTTGGGGTGGCCTTCCAGGTCAACAGGTATTTACTGATCCTTTGAAAGAGACCTTTTAGTTTCTCTCTGATATCTTTCCTGACGATGGGATATCAGGGAAGAGCTATTTTGTGGTATTAGGGAATACGACAACTAAAACGATGCCTGTGACCTGGGGACCATAACCCTATTTATAGGTAACTTTCCTGTTACCTTTTGGAGCCCTATTTCAGCACATCATTGAAATAAGAGCCCATAAGTTTCTACACATTAAAGGGCCCACATCCAATTAGATACATTAAAGCCAAACTATATTTGATCACTTTAATTGGGTTAAATCTTAATTGACAGTTTGCAATACATAATTATTCACATATAAGTCCAATGTTGGATTAAGGATCCAACAATCTCCTACTTGGACTATATGTGTAACCTTATAATTATGTTTGCAATTAACCGTATGAGCTCAATTTTACTGTCATTATCACAATGTATCTGTAACCAATTCGGTCCATCAATTACACCAATATAGGATCAAAGCGGCCTTTGTTACAATTTCGTAACTCGACCCATCAATGGTCACACATATCAATGCAATTGAATGACATGAATCATGATGTGGATGTGTAGTATGAAAATTTCATGTAATGTGATCAAAACATGCCTATTTCCAACTGGTCCACCTTAAATTTTATGAGATCAAACCATACCAAAGTTAGAGTGCAAATAAATCCAAATTTTATTTATGCATAAAATATCCTTAAATCCTTAATAATTGAAAAATATCATAAGAGCATTTAAAATAACAAACAATAAACTCTGCACTCATAGTGGAAGATGCTATGAGGGACTGTTTAGCACTCTTCCAGGATATGGCACCTCCAACCAACAAGTACACATAGCCTGACGTTGACTTCATAGTATCTTGGCATCCAGCATAATCGGAATCAGTATATCCAACGATCTCTAACTCATCTGACTTTCGATACGTGAGCATGTAGTCTTTTGTTTTCTGTAGATACCGTAAGACCCGTTTGGTTGCTTTCCAATGATTTAATCCAAAATTACTCAAATATCTATCCAACATCTTAGTAATGTACGCAATATCCGGACGCGTACATACTTGAGCATACATTAGACTCCCTACTGCTGAGACATAAGGAATCTTTTGCATCTCTCTTTCCTCAAAAGCATTCTTGGGACACTGCTCAAGACTAAATTTGTCCCCTTTAACCACGGGAGTGTCACCTGATTTACAATTTTGCATGCCATATTTTTTGAGAACCTTTTCGATATAACCCTTTTGTGATAGTCCTAAAATACCCCGAGATCGATCCCGGTGTATTTGTATACCTAACACAAAAGATGCATCACCAAGATCTTTCATCTCAAAATTTTTAGTTAGAAATTTCTTGGTTTCATGCAATAGACCAATATCGTTGCTGGCAAGCAAAATATCATCAACATACAATACCAGAAAAATATATTTGCTCCCACAGAACTTATGGTATATACAATCATCCACTAAATTCATCTCGAAACCAAATGAGATGATCACCTGATGAAATTTGAAATACCATTGTCGAGACGCTTGTTTGAGCCCATAGATGGATTTTTTAAGTTTGCAAACCATATTTTTTGGATCTCCTGATACAAAGTTTTCTGGTTGCACCATATAAATTGTCTCATCAATGTTACCATTGAGAAACGCTGTCTTTACATCCATCTGATGTAACTCAAGATCGAAATGTGTCACTAATGCCATGATAAAAGAATCCTTTGAAGAGACTGGAGAGAAGGTTTCTTTATAGTCGATACCTTTCTTTTGTGTAAATCCCTTAGCGACAAGACGAATTTTGAATCTTTTCACATTGCCTTTCGAATCCCTTTTGAATTTAAATATCCATTTACAACCAATGGGTTTCGCACCTTCGGACAATGGGACAAGATCCCAAACATCATTGTCCTTCATGGATTTAATCTCCTCATTCATGCCGTCGATCCACTTTTGAGAATTTGAACTTTCCATGGCTTGACGGAAGTTGATTGGATCATCTTCCATCAATCCAGAGTCATTCTCATGTTCTTGGAGAAAAACAATGTAATCATCTGGCACTGCACTTCTCCTTTCTCTAGTAGATCTTCTTAATGGCACTGGTGTTTGAGGAGGAAGAGTTTGTTCTTCTATAACAGTTTGCTCTTCGACATTGTCTTGATTTGACATATCATGATCAAATTCAGGAATAGGGTCCTGAGCAAGAGCAATGACACCTGTGGGAATATTAATATATTCCTCTTTAAAGACAATGTCTCTTACTGTATTTTCTCTCCCAAACTCGACATCCTCAAAGAACCGAGCATTTTCTGTCTCAAAAATTGACTTAGTTGTGGGATCATAAAACTTGTAACCTCTAGATCTTTCAGAGTATCCAATAAAATAACAACTAATCGTTCTTGAGTCCAGTTTCTTTTCATTTGGCCTGTAAGGCCTTGCCTCAACTGGACACCCCCAAACATGCAGATGCTTTAAACTGGGCTTTTTCCCTGTCCAAAGCTCATAAGGGATTTTGATAGTTGATTTAGTTGGAACCCTATTAAGGATGTAT